ACTCCCACAGCAACTCCTTCATACTTCCTGATTGTCAACAAGTGTGCGTGAAGAGGAATGACAACCTTTCGCTGGTCAAAAGTGCAACTCCTATCAATTCCAGATGTACATTACTGATTATTACAACAAATTCACCCAGAGACTGATTTAGCTGTAAACCTCTCGCATGTCTCTACCACTCATAAAAACTCTAGAAGACCATGAAATATCTGACTAGAGGTCTGATCCACTCCTGTGGCCTGCCTATTCAACTTACTCATCTAAGTCTGCAGAGGACCAACAGGCACAGTGCAGAACTGCTGTCTAGCCCCCAATGAGTGGAACAGCACCAGTTAGGGGTTTTGACTGAAGCATGTCTAAGTCCCTAATATTAATACTTGGCCTTATAAAACTCAAGATTCTGTCTGCCTACTAATATTCTACAGTTAGTTTGAGTTACAATTTTCCGGAAGTAGATGATAGATATTCCAAAACGACTCCACTACAATTTCTATATAATATAAATTGCATAGTAACGAAAAAGCAAGTGACATTTTTCAGCATTGTGGAGGTTATGCTAGTGAAAGCAACAGAACTATTTTATCACCTGTTCAAAGGAACAAGCTCTTATGCAGTAAACCAGATAACATTACCATGGTACTAGGGCTTCTACACTGGTCAGTAATCAAGTTAGGACTTCATTAGGGGTTTTAAAAAACAAAATACATTTTCCATTTGGAATCAACCAGCAATATTTAAGAACAGTTGCAAGGAAGTCAACTGTATTTCATCACCCAGTTTCCAAACCCATAAAACAGTCAGCTTCCACTTGTGAATGGACCACCTCAGACATAACATTACTTCATATCACTGCAGAGACAATGCTTCAAAATGGAGTCATAGAATCATAGAATGTTAGAGTTGGAAGGGACCTTGCAGGTCATCTAGTCTAACCCCCTGCACTCTGCAGGAGTATACTGAAAGATAGCCCTACATACCTACAACATACCCGAAAGATGGTCGTCCAACCTCCACTTGAAAATGTCCAGCGAAGAAGCAACCACCACCTCCCGAGGAAGACTGTTCCACTGCTCAACCACTCTTACAGTTAGGAAGTCTCTCTTGATATTTAGCCGGTAACGACTCCCTTGTAATTTCCACCCATTAGATCTAGTCTTGCAATCCAGAGCAAGAAAGAATAGATATGCTCCATGACACCCCTTCAAATACTTGAAGACTGCAATCATGTCCCCTCTAAGCCTTCTCTTTCCCAGGCTAAACATACCCAACTCTTTCAGCCTTTCCTCATAATACTTGGATTCCAACCCTCTCACCATTCTGGTTGCCGTCTTCTGGACACGCTCAAGCTTGTCAACATCCTTCCTAAAATGTGGTGCCCAAAACTGGACACAGTACTCCAGGTGAGGCCTGACCATAGCAGAATAGAGCAGAACTACCACCTCCCTTGATCTGGACACAATGCTTCTGTTAATGCATCCTAAGATTGCATTAGCTTTCTTCACAGCCACATTGCACTGCAGGCTCATGTTTAGGTTGTGATCAACCAGAACACCTAGGCCCCTTTCACATGTGCTGCTGTCAAGCCAAGTCCCTCCCATTCTATATCTATGCCTTTGATTTTTTGTACCTAAGTGTAGGACTTTGCATTTATCTCTATTGAAATTCATTTTATTTGTCTCAGCCCACTGTTCCAGCCTATCTAGATCATTTTGAATCCTGACTCTGCCTTATTCAGAATTAGCAATCCCACCTAACTTCGTGTCATCTGCAAATTTGGTAAGCATCCCCTCTATGTCTTCCTCCAGGTCATTTATAAAAACATTGAACAACACCGGGCCTAGGACCAAGCCCTGCGGCACTCCACTCGAGACTTCCCTCCACATAGACGCAGAGCCATTTACGAGCACTCGTTTGGTACGATTTTTCAACCAACCATGAATCCATCCAACGGTTGCACCATCCAGCCCACTCTTAACCAGCTTAAGTGTGAGTCAATTCACACATCTAACTCCCAATCATCAGGTACAGTTATCATATACTGAAAATGGTAGTGGTGCAGTGATTACTGCAGTTACCTGCTTTTACTGCACGATCCTTGTCATACCTTGTTATCCACTTTCAATATTGTTTATAATATACCTGTGCCAGTTTGCTATTTACATTGTTCTCTGTAATCCTAGTCCAGTTGCATTTTTCATTGTTTTTCTTAGGTATCTGATTGCACTGCTTTATATTCTGTAATCCCCCTTAAATCCCAGCGAGAAAGGCTGCCTATAACAAAGCATTTGAACCCATGCTGAACAAGTTCCACAGTATTACTCAACTAAAGCCATTTAAGATAGAAGCAACTGAAACACTACTTGATGCATACCTAAACCTAAGCTTGAAATATATCTAGTGCATTTCTGTCCCACTGTTTCATCCAAGAAGTTCACAGTGGCATTACATGGCTATCCCTTCCCCATTTTGCCCCCATTACAACCCTGTGAGGTACATAAAGGGTAACAGATTGTGATTGGCCCAGTGCCACTGTGTGATTTGTTTTTCTTGTTGTTTTGTTACATGGGGGGAACATTTGTAATCTAAAGTTGTAAAATCTACTCTGTCACCTCACAGTTCCATTAACACATTCCACTTCACATGCGGACTAAGCCTGAAGCTTCTGAATCAGGAAACAGAAGGTTCTGGAAAATCCTAACTTGTACGTGTTTTAAATTGCGGTGGGTTGGCAACATATAAAAGAGGGCACACGGGACTTCTGAGAAATGTAAGAGACCACAGCTGCTGCTCCGTCGCTAATAGAATAGTTTGTTTTATTTGAACTGTCTCTTTCCATATGCATTCTAACCTTAGCTGTCAACTTACATAAAATCAACATTCAGTAAAACAGAAAAATAGTTCTAATAAAATCGCATATCTTTTTACAGACTGCAATCTCTGAAAGCACAGTTTTTAAGTAATCACATTTACCCTATAATAGGACAAGGAAGTCAGTCAGCACTATAATCTAACTGTGAAGTCCTTGAGATGAATGCACTATAGAGCAAGCAGTCCCTTTCATATGTGTGAGAGATACTGAAGTAAGCAATACCTAAAATTACCAACATCTAGATTCCTTTTTTTAAAAAACACCAAAAAATTATCCCAATGAACTCTGATGTGTACAGAGGCCAGAGGTCCACAGCTGGGGAGTAGATAAGGAACCACCCCCACAATTGCACTGCATCATAGAGGGGGTTTGGAATGTCCATAAGGCTTCTCATAACACCCAAGACAAGCCTTTGCTGCTCCCAAAAGTTGGAGGAGGGACAACATTTGTGTTTAACTACAAATCTGATGCCAGTTACCAAGCCAGACAAAATGTGTGGACCCTGACAGAAGAAAAGAAGAAGAGATTGGATTTATACCCCACCCTTCACTACCCAAGGGAGTCTCAGAGTGGCTTACAAACTCCTTTCCCTTCCCCTCCCCACAACAGACACCCTGTGAGGTAGGTGGGGCTGAGAGAGTTCTGACAGAAACTGCTCTTTTTCAAGAACAGCTGTGCCAGAACTATGGCTTGCTCAAGGTCATCCAGCAGGTACAATTGGAGGAGTGGGGAATCAAACCCGGTTCTCCCAGATTAGAGTCCGCGCACTTAACTACTACACCAAACTGATAGAAACCCTGCCTGACAAAGCTAGTCTTCCATTGGGGCAGACTGGTTGTTTACCAGGGAAAACATCAGAACTAACATGGAGGTAACAAGTCCACAGGCCATATCTTGCTTGTGCCAAGACTTTCTTCTTTGCTTCCACAGTTTTATTCTGTCATATAGCAACTCACTGCGTGGACATTCCTGGAAAAAATTATTGTACAAGATATGGCTAGCGTGCCTAAAGTTGCATAGTACTATTTTAAAGAATATTTAAAGGATTTTCCTAATATTAACATTTTCCATTTTCTTACACTCCACACTCATGGATTCAAATGGGCATGTCACTCATGTTGATAATCCATCCTAAGAATTTAGGAGAATCTTCCCACAGAAAAGGTGCAAGCGGTATATGTTACCCACTTTTCCTTCGTGTCTTCACTGCAAGTAGATGCACCACAAACTGTCTCAAATCTTTGCTCACACTAGGTCCTTCTCATGTTTCATAACATGAACATTTCTTTGCATTTAACTGCAGGCAGTTATTTCATTGGAGCAAAGATTTTTTTAAATAAAAAAACTATGTGAAATACAAAAAAGGGTCAAAATTCTCACCAAGACATCCTGCTACTTAAAATTTTCAAATGAAAGGAACTACTGAGTCACTAGTTGAAAACATGTCAAATGTAACTTATGTTCTACATCTCTCATTTTAAATCTACACTGCCTATTGCTACCAAATATAGTAAAAGTTAAAAAATCCTTACTTTAAAACCCCATGAAAGCCCAAGATCCAAACATCCATCAGAACCCTGAAATACAGGAACACCTGTACTAAACCTTTAACTATGTTTAACCAAGTAATAGCTGCCCGGTTTATTGGCAGAGTTCCCAAAAGTGAAAGCCTAGATAAAGATTAAATCTATGATTTAATAGTTGCATTAGTGCTGGAAAACTTTTTAATGGTGTGAAAGAATCAAGCTAGCAGAAAAAATCCAAAAGTCACCTGTCTTGGCCCAGTACAAAGACCACAGAGAGCAAATGAGTCTATGTAATCTGGAACAGCCAATTCAGGGTATTTTCTCACTCCAGGCAATGTACACTCATCATGTCCTCCCACACTGCCACTGGCCACATCCAGGAAGCAATGCCATTGCCTCTTATACCACTGGTGATATAGAGCAATATGAGCCCCTACAGTGTGCTGGTACCTCGCTCACCATGCTATCCCAAGCAATTACCTGGGTGCAGAACCAGTCCTGTTCTGCAACACTTGAGCGACTCAATCACTTCAGTAAAAACCATCTGGCTATGATGTCGCCCTGCTCTGTAGCAGAAGCTGAAGAAATAATCAGAAAGAACTTACCAATGCTACGTTGCCTCTGGATTCCAAGCCAAAGACGTTCCGTCGTTTTACAGTCAGCACGTCGACGTCCTTTGTGTCCTCGTCGTCATCGTCAAAGAACTGCACAGATGGAGTTTTCAAGTCCTTGCACATTAGTGGCTCTTCTTCTGACTCTGACTGTCCCGGCAATGCGTCTTCCTCCATTCCATTGTCTTTTCTAGGAAGCTCTCTGATCTCCTCTCCTGCTAATGTCACCGTCTCACTTAAGAGTGCTCTGCATTTCTCTACCTCTTCACCGCTAAAAGAGGAAGGTGCTTCTTCAGGGTGATCTGTCCCCCCTAATAGGACTTCTTTCTCAGGGTCATTTCCAAGCATTTTCTTCTGGGCCTTCTGAAGAAATCTCACACGAGGAGCCACTGCAAGTCCAAGGGAGCTGCAAAACAGGTGAGTATGTTATAAGAGTAAACTCTCCCTGCACTGCCTGTAAAGGGGCCCAGGTGGTTACCAAAGATTTCTCACTCTTCAATAAGAACAGGTTCAGACATTATATGTAATAGTGGAACAGAAGAACAGGTGATTTTGTAGATATGTGCATATGAAACTGCCTTCAACTGAGCCAGACCAGAATCCACGTCAGGTTTCACGCCCCCTTAGTTTCCTGACTCAGGATAATCTGACACTCTAAATATTGTTGCCGGTACCAGGCTAACAGACTGTCACAATTTCACTGCTGCATTCAAATCAGACCTGTTTCGTAGGGCTCCAGTTCTGACACTCTTCTAACCAGCACTGGTCTATGCCTGGTAGACTGAGACTCCTCCTCCACCATGCACCAGGACATGAGACATGAGATCACCACACGGAGCCTGTGTGAGCGGGTGTAATTTATGTAATTGCCCCCTCATCTCCTCAAAAAGGGGAGAAGGATTATGCGAAACAGTTCTTCATTTGAAATGTCACCTCACATCTCAGGAAACATTTGAGCCAAAAGTGGTTAGAGCATCAGACGAGGATTTGGGAGACCCCAGTTTGAATTCCTACTCTACCACGGAAGCTTCGGTGGGTGACTTTGGGCCAGTCACACACTCTCAATCTAGCCTACCTCACAGGATTGTTGTGAGGATAAAGGAGAGGAGAATGCTGTAAGCTGCTTTGAGTCTCCATTAGGAAGAAAGGTAGGATACAACTGAAGTAAATAAATAACTATTTAAGGTACCACAAGCAGTGTTCCCCCTAAGCTGTGGAGTCTCGTGAGCAAAAATCCTACTTTGTGAGCTGTTGGCATTAAAGTTGTGAGTGAGCGATTTGGCTGCTGCATAAATTAGTTTGCTCTGGAGCCCTCCTTCCTGAGCTAAGACAAAAATGTCTGAGCCAGAGGCTAAAAGATTGTGAGCTAGCTCACATGAACTCAGCTTAGAGAGAACACTGAGTCCACAAGGCTCCTATTTTATTTTGCACTGCAACAGACTAGCACAATTTCCCCTCTTTAATTTTCCAATTCAAATGTTACCTGAGGTGCACAACAGAGGGGAAAGCCATCTGGTTGGTCCACCATTATGCAAAGACGACCCCCAGGCAGGTATGTTCCTGAACCAAGCCTCGCCTTAGTTCATCTCCATCCTGTTACAGATTATTTCCCACAATACAGAAACTACAGCGGTTCTGCACTGCAAACTGGAAAGAGACGAGCATTTGGGGTGGGATGACGGCTCAATGTTACAGCATCTGCTTTGCACGCAGAAGAGGAGATTGGATTTATACCGCGTCCTTCACTACCCAAAGGAGTCCCAGAGCAGCTTACAATCTCCTTTCCCTTCCCCTCCCCACAACAGACACCCTGTGAGGTAGGTGGGGCTCTGAAAGAACTTGTAACTGTCCCAAGGTCACACCAGCAGCTGCATGTGGAGGAGTGGAGAATCAAACCCAGTTCTCCCAGATTAGAGTCCACGCTCCTACACCAAACTACCTATCCCAGGATCAATTCCTGGCATTCCCAGTTAAAAGAATCAAGTAGCTGGTGATGTGGAAAATGCCTGGTAGCCTGGAGAGCTGTTGCCAGCCATAGAGACAATACTGACACTGACAGGCCAATGGCCTGATTCAGTATAAGGCCACTTCATGGGCATGTACAGATACCACTAGGTTCACAATTGCACACTGATACAAAGACTGTGGAAAGATTCAAGACAGATTTCCCAAACTGTAAGTAGGTTTGCACACTGATACAAAGACTGTGGGAAGATTCAAGACAGATTTCCCAAACTGTAGTTGATTCACACAAAAAAGAATCGGTAACTACGCATCCGTTCCTCCCTTCAACCCCATACCCTCCCTTAAAAAAGAAAGATAATGCTCAGCCAAATTGCCTACTGAGCTTTTTAACATTCGGGAAACCATTTAATTAAATAGTTATGGACCGTAGCTTCCCATTCTCCTCTAGCAGCAGAGTCTTGTCAACAGTCATGAATACAGGGCTTGGCAAAAACCCTGCTTGTCCTGCATACACTTTTTTCGTAAGCGCTACGAGGTGAAATTAAGTATTCCATTTTGTGTGAAATTAAGTATTTCATTTTGTAAGATGAGATGGAAAACAGCAAGAAGCCTTCCTGTTAAAAGAGCAGCAGTTTTAAGTTCGGTTTCCAGGAAGAGAATGCTGAGATGTTTCATCCCAATACCTCTCTGCCACAGAACTATTGGTTTCTGTTGGGCTCAATTCTCGGATTAATTACTGCAGGACTGCATACCATCTCTGCACAATTTGAGATAGCTGCTGCCTGGCATATCCCTGAAAAGAAGGAAAAGAAAATATACGTAACGGAAGCCTTTTAAAAAAAGGAAATTGAGGCAAGTCACTGAATATCAGCTAATTTTATTATCAGAAGCTGAGCTCCTTCTACCCCTCTAAATTAGAACATTTGTTAAACCAGGGAAATGATAAAGCCAACAAATTCCAGTGCTGAGAATGCGCAAGCAAAGGGACATTTGTTTTCAATAAGCCTAGTAATTGTTTCACAGCAAGAGATGCACGGAGAAATGGACAGTGAGGCACATGTCGCATCTTCTTGTGGGATGTACTCTGAACCCTCAGTTCCCAAACAGATTGGTGCTTTCTGCAGGGACTGCAGGATTCCTGAAGCAGGGCATGGAGTTCAAGAGAAAGCGAGGATCCTGCAGCAGGTGGAATCTTCCTCCTCCAAGGAAGAACTGGTGCTTTGCTGCAATGATATTCCTTTGTGTATCATTTTAGGACTGGGTTAAACATGTCCTTTTTATCACTCATTGTTTGTCAGATCTTGTTTTAACTATGCCACATTGACAGTCACGGGAACAAACATGAAGCTGCCTTATACTCAGACCCTTGGACCATCAAGGTCAGTAACTGTCTACTCAAGACCAGTAGTGGGTCTCCAGGGTGGGAATAAAAATGGACTCAATAAACACTGTTCTTCTGCCAATAGTCAATATTCACACAGCAATGGGCTGCATGCACACACTAAGCTGCTAGTGAAAATTTCTGCACACTTGCTGGGGAAAGTGATGGGTAAATGTGAGTTTGGAGAAGAAGTCGGATGAATACTACAGTGTGTATGCTATCCAGAGCACATCCCCCACCCATCATACCCCTCCATGCCCACTGTCAGCTAGCTGCAATATCTGTGCTGTCTACCCTTCCCTCTTCCCGCTTTGCTTGCAGCTCAGCAGCTTGCTGTAAACATGCCAGGGAGCCGTGGGAACTAGACGCCTTTATCAGTCTGGCCTTGTGTATTTGGGAGGGCTTGGGATCCACCTTTGGTGTGAATTTTTCTGCTCTCAGGAAACCATGGGACTCTCCCGCTCATTATGTAATATCCCGCCGGGAGTTTTCCCGCGCGCCCGAAGTTCATTCGCTTAGCTAATGGCTAAGCTATATGTATTGGGATGTTCCCGCCTTCTAGTTATTCCTAACAATGATCCTGTGGACATGGTACCAGTCTTGTACACTAATAAACTTAATGCTTCAGGAGAAACGTGTGTGAAGAGTTACTTGCTGTGGAACCTGACACCCACAGTATAAAATTGTATGTTCTTATTCTATTACTTTTGCAAAACAGAAAAATGTTAAAGAGTTAAAAATCTCTTGTGGGCAAAGAGAATGAAAAGGAAGATAAAACCATATCCCATATCCAGCCCCTCCCTGCATTCACAAAGAACTCTGTAAGCGTGAGATGTTTCCTACACTTCTGGGCTTCTCCCATAAGTACGTATTGCCATTGCAGGGGGAGAAGTTGGGTTGCATCCAAAGTGGTGGTGGTGGTGGTGCTGGTGGAGATGCTTTTTTAATGCATAATAAATCATAAAACTATTATGTAATAAATGCATCTAAAATCTGTCCCTCAAGCAGTTACATTCTCAAACTGACAAGAGGCAAGCTGTTGGAAGTAAGCCTCTATTAAGTACCCTTATCTAGCGTGTCAGAATCAGGGAAACAGATAACTTTCTTTTGAAGGACAAAATTTTAATCCAGTTCCTGCGGAGAAAACAGTTTCTCTGCTATTGTATCTGCAGAATGCCGATTGATGCGGTCACAATGTTTTCCATCCTGGCAGTTAACAGATGTAGTCTCCCCTCAACCTCTCTGCCTGCCTCAGAAATAGCTCAACAACGTCCTTTTGAAGAAAAGCAGTTATCAAAATAAAGTTCAGCCCTCTGAAATTTTTGTTCACCACTACTACCAGGTTGCAGTCTTAACAATAGCAATGCCACACTAAAGAGTCTCATCAGTATTCTGAAATGAGACTACAGCGCTTAAAAGATGGATGTGGGGTTTTGCTTTAATGCCTCTCCATGCCAAAAAATTCCGATGAGTAAGCAGTTCCAATAAAGTCTTGCAGAGAGAACCAGGTTTCTGAGCAAACTGAGCAATCTGGATCTGCTCGGTTTTGAAACGGTAGGCTGTATGCAGCTACATTTCTTTGCTTATCTTAAAGGCCGTGTTTCCCATATGGGGCAGGAGGGTATCCCAAGCTTTTGTAGTTTTATCAACTTGTGAATACTCCATGTTTTTTTTAAGTAGGTCACCATTCCAAGTAAGTTTGGACTCGTGCCTCACCATACCAAAAAAGGTTGGGAGCGACTGGCTTAAAGATTTTTTTTAAATCTTCTTCAAGGAGACCCACCATATTGATTCTGCATTTCCTGTAGAATCAGAAGGGCCCTGACCTGAATGGACCAGAGTAGCCCAATCTCCTCAGATCTCAGAAGCTTTTTAAAGTAGGTCACCATTCCAAGTAAGTTTGGACTCGTGCCTCACCATACCAAAAAGGTTGGGAGCGACTGGCTTAAAAAAAAAATTTTTAATCCTCTTCAAGGAGACCCACCATATTGAGCAATACATTTCCTGTAGAATCAGAAGGGCCCTGATCTGAAGGGACCAGACTAGCCCAATCTCCTCAGATCTCAGAAGCTAAGCAGGGTTGGCCCTACTTAGTACTTGGACAGGAGAACACACTAAGGGAGTCCAGGGTCACTACACAGAGGCAGGGAGTGGGAAACCACCCCTGTTTGCCTTTTGCCTTGAAAACCCTATGGGGTTGCCATAAACTGGCTGCAACTTGATGGCACTTTATACTGCAAGAATCAAAAGACAGATGTCTGGAAGGGAGGGGGGTCTATAAGGCATGTCTTGATCTACTCTGAAATGGGGAATGCCCTAGAAGCATGCTAATTTTTTAAAAAACACAACTGGATAGAACACGCCATCACCATAGCTAATTAGCTGGTACCTTTCCCCTATTTTGTAACAAAATACCCAATAACAGGACTACTTTTACACTAACCATTGACTGAACCCAATACAAAAGTACTCAAATTTTCAAGACCATTGAATGGCAAGTTCTATCTGTTAGCAACCATTTCAGCAGAGAGAAAAAGGTTGAAAGTAGGAATGACTAAAGGTCACAAAGAACAGCACGGAGAATGCAAGCTGGGCCACAGGAAGCCTCCACACCAGCTTTCTGCTCACTAGAGCTGCTGAGCAAAGGGAACCAGGGGGATAAAATTCTGTGGGCTCTGATCACCCTGTGTTTCATGGGGTCGGGCAAATTGTCTAATTTGCTTTAACTGTTTGTAAAAGGGGTGACCCCTGCAGGCCCATAGCCAGGATTTTTAAAGTAAGGGACGTTTAAATTTCTTAGGGGGCACTGGCTAATTGAATTAAAGGAATACCTGGCTCCTTCCCGACACCAGCCACCACTTGGGGACCCTGGGATGGATGGGAAGTTGTGGGGCCTTGCCAGTAAGTCAGGGGGCCTAGCCCCGAGATGCCCCACAGTAGCTACTGGCCTGGACCCCTGCCTCCCTTCTAGACCTCTACCTTCTGATTCTATAAAATAGGGACTTCTCAATCAGGTCCATCTGCTTGAACGGGATTAAAAGCCTATCTTAAGCTAAGCTAAAAAAAAACTAACTGCGTATAGCCCACAGTTTTCATGACATACCAAATCCAAATTGCTCAGTTGTGAGGGACGCCAAAAAGTGTGGTCCGGAAGCCCCCTCACCCCGAGGGGCACTTGGCAGTCCTGTTCTTCACACACAAACTCCAGACAAGTTTGTAATATAGGGATAATACAAACCGAATTTCTGTACTACTTTATACCTTTAAGGCCCTAAACAGCTTGGGGCCTGGGTAGATGAAGGACCACCTCCTCTTGTACTGTCCAACCTGCCAATTTTAGATCCTCTCCCCAAGCCTTGATCTCTGTGCCTCTGCCTGCAGAGAGACTGGCAACAAGAGACGGGGCTTTTTTTAAACAGTGGCACCTCATCTGTGGAATGCCTCCCCTCTGAGGCTCAACACCGTGATCTCCCAAATGAAGCCTTTCATGGAGGGATGGCACAGAGCTGACAAGCAAAAGAACGCTAAATGCTTATTTGAAAAGCATGCAGGGAATCAATGAAAATTTCTGTTTGGATTCAAGGAGGAAATGGGGGGGGGAGACTTTGCTTTCCAGTTCAACCCAGAATTTTTAAGACCAGTGTTCCCTCTAAGCTGAGTTAGTGTGAGCTAGCTCACAGTTTTTTAGCCTCTGGCTCACATATTTTTGTCTCAGCTCAGGAAGGGATGGCTCCAGAGCAAACTGATTTATGCAGCAGCCAAATCGCTCACTCACAGCTTTAATGCCAGTAGCTCACAAAGTAGATTTTTTGCTCACAAGACTCCACAGCTTAGAGGGAACATTGATTAAGACTCTGGGCCACTCTAAGCCACCTCTGTTTTGACACACACAATGAAAAATAGTTTTTCAATACTTTCCATGTATTTATTTACAAAGACATCCATTATGTGCGGCTAAGTGATACAGCTGAGAAATTAAATATCCCCACCATTCACATCCCTGTGGAAGTCAAAGGAACTGCTAACATATTCACATCAGCAAAGTCCGTTAACTCTACTCACAACAGTGACTTCTCATCATATGAATAATCTCCACACCAGAAGAAAAAGCCTTGAAGTGTATAAATAGTTGCACCAGTGCTTGTGTTTTCAGCCCACATATATCTTATTGAAGGTCCCAAAGAGAAAATCCACATTGCGCTACCCCTAAGAATGGGCCACAGCTCAGTGGGAGAACACATACTCTGCATGCAAATAACCACGTGAAGCTGCCTTATACGGGGTCAGACCAGTGGTCTATCAACATCAGTGTTGTCTGTTCTGATCGGCAGTAAGTCTCCAGGGTCTCAGGCTGAGGTCTTTCATATCACTTACCACAATGCTCCCTCTAGGCTGTGGAGTCTTGTGAGCAAAAATTCTACATTGTGAGCTACTGGCATTAAAGTTGTGAGAGAGCAATTTGGCTAGTGTGTGAGCCAGAGGCTAAAAAACTGTGAGCTAGCTCACATTAACTCAGCTTAGTGGGAACATTGCTTACCACCTGAACCTTTTAACTGGAGATGCCATTGATGGAACCTGGGACCTTCCTACATGCAAAGAAGATGCTCTTCCTCAGAGCTGCAGCACCTCTGAGATTCAATCCCTGGGTCCTCTAGTTTAAAGAACTTCAGGGAACAGATGTGCAGAAAGTCCATTTTCTGCTTCAGATTCCTATAGAAAAACTGCCATTGGAGTATGTAATGAGTGAGAACAGATTAATGGTCTAGGTATAATCCAAGAAGATAAGAAAAAAATGGTGGTACAATGAGGAAATTTTTATTTCATTTGAAGGTCCCTACAAGTTTCGCAAGCAGCCTTATCAGGCTGTCAGGATCTACAGACTTCTTATGGTGGGAACACTATTAAGGGATAGTTGCCTTACAAATCCCAGAAAGCTGCATTCAAAACATGTAGGGAAGTTTGAGTGAAATAAAATTTATTTCCCCACTGCACCATTTCCCCCCTTCTCTTCTTTAATTCTGCACCACCACCACCCTAAATCTAAGAAATCTGCCATTTGCTATAATATGACTGTCTTTAGTGCTAACCTTCGAGGAGGTGGAATGGTATGGTATAGCTCAATCTCCTCCGACCTTGGAAACTAAAAGCAGGGTCAGTACTTGAATGGGAGACGCCCAAGAAAGACTGCAGAGAAAGGCAATGGTAAACCATCTCTGCTTTTCACTTGCCTTGAATGCCCCTTGCTGGGGTCACCATGAGTCAGTTACAACTTGACGGCCCTTACATAAGTAATGCTACCCCAGAATCTGCTGAGACAGGCCACATCACGTGGTCAAATGGGAGTCCACTTGCCTCTTGGCTTGTGTAATTGAGGAATGAGTGGAAAGCGCTTCCAAGGCCTATTTTGCAGTCCATGTTGCAAGAGAAGGAATTAAAGAACTTGTCAACGGTATGGTAGAGAAGCCTGGTATCATGGTCTGTGCAGGACTGGGAGCAGAGCCTGGTGTGACCTGGTCCCAGGAGAGACCTGCATGGCAGTGAAAGCAGACAGCCTACAATCCCCATAAGGCTTAGCAACGGGCTATAGCCAATCAGAGTACAGCGATTCTGTGAGGAGACTGTTACATACTGTGTGAGGAGTCTGTCTTAGCTGTTAACTGTGGAAAACGGGGTTCTTTCGTCTCTCTCTGCAGCCTGGTCACTGTGGGGACAGGCTGGTCTGGTGAGAGGAAAAGATCCCCCACTTGGCTCAGCGTGAGTGTTAGGCAGGCTGTGGGCCTGGAAGTAGTAAGCAGTTAGGAACAGTAATAGGTGGCTGTGTTAGATTGTGTTTATTTTGCCTTTTAACCATTGTTATATCTTTTAAAAGCACCTTGTCTTGTTTTTCCTCTACCCAGTACTGTAAAAATAAACCCTTTCTGTTTCACTGGTTCTCTGCCTTGGTCATCACGCTCATGTTTTCTCGGCTGTCAAAGGGGCATTTTGGATGGGCTTGAGAGGGTACCTTGGGCCTTCTCAAGGGACCGAAGTCCAGGGTGATGGAGGCAGAAGGTGGAGACCCCCTGGGGTCACGACACCTGGTCTTTGAGATCTGGGGGGGGGCACAGATGGAAAGACTTCAGGAACCGTGCTTGGCCCCCCTAGAACTCTAGCTGCCTAATACAGAATTAACACTGCAATGCAGAATGGCTTTAATCTTTTTGTAAATGACGGTTGAATAGGCTAAAGAGCCTCAAAAGTAGCACAGAACTATTGTGCATGTTAATTTGGTATTACAGGATAGCAGAGGATAGGCCCCGGTCACACGGCAAAGTTGCCGCGGGAGAGGCACGGATGGTGGGCGGATTATCTGGGCGCGATCACACCCCAACATCTGGGAAGTGGAGCGCACCCGTGGCTTATCGCCGAAAATGCGTGTTGAAAAGTAGTACCTCCAAGGTACTAGTAAACGTTTGCCCCGGGCGCCCTCCAGACTCCTGTGGTGTGATCGCGCCAGCGTGCGGCATTCCCCTCCGGTCCCTCGTTTACCTGCCGGCGGCGAGGGAAGGACCCGTGGTGTGCGTAATCGCGGATCAAGCTGCGCCGGGGCAATTAGCCATGCCTCCCCCACCCGCGATATCCGGCCCGTATGACCGGGGCCCCAGTTAAGTATTCATTTACCAATATTTTTCTATGGTTTGCTTATATCTATATATTAACGAGCTATGTATATATGTGTGTCATACTTAGTGGTGGTGGAAAGTGCCGTCAAGTCACAGCTGATCTATGGTGACCCCATGGGTTTTTCAAAGCAAGAGACTTTCAGAGGTGGTTTGGCAATGCCTACCTCCATATCACAACCCTGGTATTCCTTGGAAGTCCCCCATGCAAACACTAGCCAGGGCCAACCCTACTTAGCTTCTGAAAGCTTACAAAGTATTTTTAAAATGCTATCATTTCCAATTGGAAATAAAGCAGCCATTGTTTGTGCAGTTCAAAAGAAATCAGCAAAAAAAACCTGTAGACTTTTACAGAGCACTTTTAGCATTTATAACAATTAGACATAATAGCACTTACAGGGCATATTCAGTCACAGGTAGCTTGAATACATCAAATACTTCTTTGTTCTTCATTAGGTAGACGGATCGCAGATAGGAAACAAAACACTAAAGGGGGAGGGAAAGGAAAATAAATTACTTTGAACAGTAAAAAAAGAGGTTCTGTCTCTTTAATCTGAAACAGATAAAGAGATCCAGAATGTTGAACAATTGAAATTTGTGCACTGTATTTTAGGTAAAACTAATTAAGATTGAAATAGATCATCTATCAGTTGCTGTCTGTCAAGTCAAGACATGATCTCCTCTTCTCCCACCTCTGATTATGCCACTCGGGTATACCTCTTTGGGGGAAACGGCATCTTCTGAACACAAGTAATAGCTACAGGTTACAACTTAAGCTGGCTCGACCTGGATGGCCCAGGCTAGCCCAATCTCATCCAAACTCAGAAGCAGGGTTGTTGGCCCTGGTTTGTATTTGGATGTGAGACTACCAAGGAAGCCTGGGGTTGCTATGCAGAGGCCGGCAATGGCAAGCCACCTCTGAACATTTCTTGCCTTGAAAACCCTAAAGGGTTGCCTAAAGTTGGCCGTGACTTGACAGCACTTTCCACCACCACAGCTGAAGCACAAGCATGTAATAATAATAATAATAATAATAATAATAATAATAATAATGCTTTCGATTCATTGATCGCTCTTTCCCACATACCTGCGGGCTCAGAGCAATTTACAGTTACTCTTGAGACAGTTGGACTAACAATATTTGTGGGGATAGGTGGTACCTGAAGAGTATGAATCAAATTATGAGTCCATTTGAACCAGAAACTAATGGGTTCTTAAAACAATAAATTTGCTCATAAAAAGCAACAGCTACTTTCACATAGAGGAAAAGCAATGTTTTATTTAAACGCATAGACCACCTCATGACCATACAGGTTCTCAAAGCCGTGTACAAGGATAAAAACCTCCAATACATAGTAAGACTAGTGGTGTGCAACATCCACCCCTATGACTGGCTAGTAGTATGACATCTCTGGATTGGCTTAGGGTAGATACTAGAGTCCCAGTTTCCTGCTTTTTCCTTGGTCCCTGCTGCTCCTACACTTCAAGCTCTTATTTCTCCAGCTCAAGGAAATGACCTCAGGAACCATATATCCTTCAGAACTAGTATAATTGTCAACAGTCCTGCCCTAGCCCTGACTGTTAGGAACACAACAGTTCCTACAAGAGTATACAACGTTTGCTTATTTAAAAAAAAACCTAACAAAACTACTGCCATTGTTTGATTTCTTAGTCAAACTGGCAAAAAAAAAAAAATGATGGATGACTGCCGTTTATGACAAAAAAGCAAGTTACTACAGAGGAACTGCTCAACTACAATTGAGATTACCCAGTCCAGTATTTTTAAACTATGCCTGCAATCCGGGGCCAGATCTTCCCCACCCCCAACCCCCCACTCATGCCTTCCTTCCTTCCAGCCCACCTCACTTGCCTATGTTTCCTTCCTACTGACTGTGTGTCCTTTCCCTGATGGTGCTGGGTGGTGTGTGCAGAAAGGAACAACGCCACTGTGTGCACCAGGGAAGCCACCATTCCTTCCTTGACAGCATGTGACTGGGGAGCTCTGCAGCAGTGGACCTTGTCAGGAACTCTGTGCCCTATCAGCTCCCCCGCCCCCCCGGGTATGCTGACACCAGCCCTGCTGCAGTTGCATGCACTCTTGAGTGTTAGCTCCACAAACATTAAATGGGATTTACTGTCATACATCCCTAACATAAGGTTTCCTCCTAGAATGTACTTCCGGTATTTCAAAGTTTCCTTAGTGGTCCTTTTTATTTCATGGGGCTAAACTCCAACCGAACTTTTTTGTATGCTTCTCCCGTTGCCTTTCAAAATGACCTTCTTTCTTCCATATATCTTAAAACCGAAACTGTTTGCTTCATCCTTGAAAACCATTTTTAAACACTTAATAGATGTTGCGGTATGGAATTCTTTTGCCCTTAAAACCCAGCTGCCGAAACAACAGCACCAGCAACTGTACAAACAGCTTTCGCTTGAAGTTTCATATTACCCAGGCTGCAATAAAACACTGGAAAATCACTCCTATAAAATGGAATAACCTGCTGCTACCAGCATGCCCTTTCGTTTGGCTGCTAACTCAAGTGTATCATTCATTAAATCATACTGTTTATGTTTCCACTGCACTGTTCTGTAATTTTTGTTTTGGGAAGTGCTGGGGAGGAAAACTTATTTTTATAGATATATTTACTGATTCGTTTTTGGAATTCTCATTTCATCTCCCGTTCTCCAAAATCCATTATGGAAAATCTACTACTATACATTTTTTTTAAAGATTGAAATATGCAGAGCAAAAAAAAGGGTACTAAGTGATTGGGTTATTTTAAATAACTCTACGGATTTTATTCTCACACATGCACACACCCTTTCACTTGAGCGGCACAAAAATCATTCTGCTTGCATGAGGAATTGGTCGCTTTAATTATGAAACTTTGGGCTGCGCATAATGATCAGTATCTGCTCCTGCTATGAGCTGTTTATAGCAAGGGCAGAAAGCTATTTAAGAACTGTTGAAATTTGGGGTCAGACACTGAAGCACACATAGCAAGAATCTCAACCAACAGCTGAATCTGTACTACTAGCAATGTCCCATATTGCAAAATGTGATTAGATATCACAAAAGAATGAGTGGGGAAGGAGCCACGGTTTGAAATTTGTACGGCAAGTTCAGACCAGTTTTTCCTGCACAGGTTTAATGGCAAACTACGGTTTCCCAGGAAGCTTCGAAATACCTAATTGCCTCGATAACCTAACTATCTCCCAGGCTCATTCACACACCCGCATACCTCAGGTTGGCATTATGTTTGAACCAAGCAGTGTGGTATGCAAAACAATTCAGCAACAGTTTCCATTTTTCCCTTGGGGATGTATAATTCTCATTAACTTTCTCACAGCCCAAAGGAAAGCCAAATCATGGCACAAGACTACAAAATAAAAAACAACACTAGAGAACTAGCATGTCACTTATCTATTATCTATTTACTTGTTTTATACCCCACCTTTCTCCCCGATGGGAGCCCAAAACAGCTTTCAATGTTCATCTCCTGCATTTTATCCTCACAAAACCCTGAGAGGCGGATGAGGCTGAGAGTATGTGAATGGCCCAAGGTGTGATGGACGGTTTCCACCCACTAGGAGCCTCAGCCAATCATTTTCAAATGTTAAGGGGGGGGAGTTTAGCAGTTTAACTGCTGGCCAAGAACAGAGTGTTTGGGGGGGGGGGTTGGATTTTGGTTGGAGAAGGGCTAGGAAGCATGCTGGTTAGGAAAGGAGTCCAATGGGGAATTTAGGTATTTTGAAGACAAGATGGGGTTTGGGTGCTGTTCCCGTCAAAAACTGTTAAAAGCCTTCTGTTCTGTGTTTCAGTTCTGAATCAGTCAAACAAGAAACCCGCTTCGTAGCTGCTACGCATTGTCAGGTTCCAGCTGTCCAGTAACTTTGTTACTGGAATACTGAGAGGGCTGAAGTAAAGGAAAACAAACAACCAAGACACTGAAATAAACCTGTTTCTCAGTTGTTTCCATCAAGCCTACTACTGTGTCAAGCCTATAATCCCCTCATAATAGGCCAAGGTAATACCAGGTGGCGACCTGAGTTCAAGTATTGCCCTCATTGAGGACCAGAAGACTAAGCATCCCCAAAGCCTCCTTTTTTAATAATAAAAGAATGTGCGGGGGGGGGGGAGTTTGTAGGGTGTGAAATTTACGTCCCTAGTTTCTAGGTCTGGAGATGGTGTCATCATACAAGGTCACCCAGCAAGCTCTTATGACAGAGTAGGAATTTGAACCTGGGTTTCCCAATCCTAGTCCAACTCTAAACTACGCTGGCTCCCAAGTGCTTCATTATTTCTTCCCAAAATAACACATTTAAGCATTACAAAGTCACTTTATATCATTTCTTCACAGTAACACGCTATATTTCTGAAGTCCTGAAAATTTTCATGGAGGGGCTACATCTCAATAAGACAGTCCCAAGAGCAGTGCCTAGACTTCCAGTTACATGGGCAGAAGAAACTTACATGTCCAACAGCCAGTTATCTCCCTTAAAAGCTGAATGGTGGTGGCACTTCTCTAGAACATTCCACACGCTCCGGAATTGGTTGGCGCCCTGGTGTGTCACTCAGAATCTGTCCCTATCCACTGCCTGCATTGCTTGAGTCTCACCTCCAACATTCTACATTCTAAACAGTTTGCTGTTCCTCCCCGCCCCCCAGCCAGTCAGAACACAGAGGTTATTTGAATATGTAGCCTCATTGGCCTTTGCCTCGGAACACAGAGGTCGTTTGCTTATGCGCCTTGATTGGCTTTTGCCTCTAACATTCTAAACAGTTTGCTGTTCTGAAGTAAAATGTGTCCAATCTCCAGGTGAGGGCTGGAGATCACTCAGAATTACAACTGCTTT